TCTCGACTCCTTCCTCCGTGCGTCCCAGAGGGTACGTGCCGGAACACGACCCAAGGGACCAGCACGCATCCTCCCTCATCTCCTTCCTCTGTGCGTCCCAGAGGGTACGCGCCGGAGCACGACTCACGGGGGCAGCACGCCTCGACTCCTTCCTCCGTGCGTCCCAGAGGGTACGTGCCGGAGCACGACCCAAGGGACCAGCTCGCCTCGACTTTTTCATCCGTGCGTCCTAGAGGGTACGTGCCGGAGCACGACCCAAGATGGCAGCACGCCTCGACTCCTTCCTCTGTGCGTCCCAGAGGGTACATGCCGGAGCACGACCCAGGGGAGCAGCACGCCTCGACTCCTTCTTCCGGGCGTCCCAAAGGGTACGTGCCGGAGCACGACCAAAGGGAGCAGCACGCCTCGACTCCTTTCTCTGTGCGTCCCAGAGGGTACGTGCCAGAGCACGACCCAGGGGAGCAGCACGCCTCGACTCCTTCCTCCGTGCGTCCCAGAGGGTACGTGCCGGAGCACGACCCAAGGGACCAGCACGCCTCGACTCCTTCCTCCGTGCGTCCCAGAGGGTACGTGCTGGAGTACGACCCAAGGGACCAGCACGCCTCGACTCCTTCCTCTGTGAGTCCCAGAGGGCGCTCCGAAAGCCAAGGACGTTGGGCATGAAAACGAGCAAACCCCCCCAGACATCCCCACAAAGTGGCCGCGAACGGACCCGTGTCCTACCACTTGGCGGCTCCTTTTAGGGGTGCTGAAACCAGCGCCCCGCCTGAAACATCCTCAAAATCTAGCCAAGGATGTTGGGCATGAAAACGAGCAAACCGCCTGAGACATCCCGACAGACTGGCCGCGAACGGGCCCATGAAAACACCCTTGGCGGTTCCCCTGAGGGGTGCTGAAACCAGCGCCGCGCCTGAAACATCCTCAAAATCTGTTCTGAAAGCCAAGGATGTTGAGCATGAAAACGAGCAAACCGTTTGAGACAGCCCCACAAATTGGCCCCGAACGGGCCCGTGAAAACACCCCCGGCGACTCCCCTTACGGGTGCTGAAACCAGCGCCCCGCCTGAGAAACCCTCAACATCTGCTCTGAAACCAATGATGTTGGACACGAAAACGAACAAACCGCTCGAGACAGCCCCACAAACTGGCCGCGAACGGGCCCGTGAAGACACCCTTGGCGGCTCCCCTTAGGGGTGCTGAAACCAGCGCCCCGCCTGAAACATCCTCGCAATCTGTTCTGCAAGCCAAGGACGTTGAGCATGAGAACGAGCAAACCGCCTGAGACATCCCCACAAACTGGCCGCGAACGGGCCCGTGAGAACTCCCCTGGCGGCCCCCCTTGCGAGTCTGAGTATGAGTAGGTCTGGATATGAGTAGGTCTCAATCCGTGCGTTGAGCAACTCAGACGATGAGAAGGTCTGAGTATGTGTAAGTCTGAGTATGAGTAAGTCTGTGTATGAGCAGGTCTGGGAACGAGTCTGGGTATGAGTAAGTCTGGGTACGAAGGAGTCCCAGCATGAGTAAGGCTGAGTATGCGTAGGCCTGCATGTTGTATGTTGAGTAAGTCAGTCCATGTGAAGGTATGAGTATGAGTAGGTCTGAGTATGAGTAAGTCTGTGTATGAGTAGGTGTGTTATCTCTGGAGTCGGCGGCGTCCGAGTAATAATTACTCGACGCGGGGCTTCCCATATGTGCATCTCATTCTCTTGGTACGTCTTTCTATTGATATCTGTCAATGAGCGCCTGTATGCGAGGGCGAACCGCTCGCTCGAGACATTCCCACAGTCTGTAAGCATGAGTGCGACCAATAGCAAATCTGAGAGTGACTGATTCTGAGTGTGAGTTAATATGGGTGCGATTGAGCCTGGGTTTGATTGGGTATGCGTGTGAGTAAATGAGCGCGAGTGCGTCTGTGTGCGAGTGGGTCTGAGTATGGACGAATCTGAGTGTGAGCCAGTCAGTGATTGAGTGGATCGTAGCATGATGAGTCTGAGCATGAGTGTGTCTGGCCTTGAGTGAGTCTGAGTGTGAGAAAAAGTGTGTGTGTTAATGAATCTGAGTGCGAGTGAGCCGAGTGTGATTGGGTATGGATGTGAGGCAGTCTGAGTGTGAGTCGGTCTGTATTTGAGCGGACCGAAGGATGATGAGTCTTAGCAGGAGCGAGTCTGAGTATGAGTGGTTCTGTGCGTGAGTCGGAGTGTGAGTAAGATTAAGTATGGATCTGAGCGAGTCTAAGTGCGAGTGAGCCTGCGTGTGACTGAGTCTGAGTATGAGTGAGTATGAATGCAGAAGAGTGAAGGAGAGCGGAGAGCGAAGGAGAGTGAGGCGTAAGCGTTTGAGTAAAACCTAAAGCCTTGGAACATCGAACCTCGATCGTCTGGCCCTGGCTACTCGAGTTGCCCACGTCCTCCTCCTCCTCCTCCTCCTCATCATCATTATCATCATCATCATCATCCCCTTCCTGCTTCTGCTCCTACCGTGTTCATGCTGTCCTCCTTCTCCTCCTCCTCCTCGTCCTCTTCCTCCTCCTCCTCGCTTCCTCCTTCTCTTCCTCCTCCTGCTCCTCCTCCTCCTCCTCCTCTTCCTCCTCCTCCTCTTCCTCCTCCTCCTGCTCTTCCTCCTCCTCCTCTTCCTCCTGCCTCCTCCTCCTCCTCCTCCTCCTCCTCCTCCAAATCTGCTCCGAAAACGAAACATGTTGGAAGAGAAAATGGCCAAACCGCCTGAGACATCCCCACAAATTTCCGCGAACGAGACCCCGTGATAACGCCCCCGCCGCTCCCCTTAGAGTGCTGAGACGAGCGAATCGCCTGAGACATCCTCCAAATCTGCCCCGAAAACGAAACATGCTGGAGCAGAAAATGGCCAAACCGCCTGAGACATCCCCACAAAATTCCGCGAACGGGACCCCGTGATAACGCCCCCCGCCGCCCCCCTTAGGAGTGCTGAAGCCACAGAATCGCCTGAGACATCCTCAACATCAGTGTGTGTGTCTGATGAGTGGACCGAGTCTGAGTGGTGAGTTGTTCTCGGGGCCGTCTAAGTGATGACTGAGTCTGAGTGATGACTGCGTCTCAGTGATGAGTGCGTCTGAGTGGTGACTGAGTCTGAGTGAAACTGAGTATGAGGGAGTCTGAGTGGTGAGTGAGTCTGAGTGATGAGTGAGTCTGAGTGATGATGAGTGAGTCTGAGTGATGAGTGAGTCTGAGTGATGAGTGAGTCTGAGTGATTGATGAGTGAGTCTCAGTGATGAGTGAGTCTGAGTGATGAGTGAGTCTGAGTGATTGATGAGTGAGTCTCAGTGATGAGTGAGTCTGAGTGGTTGAATGAGTCTGCGTGATGAGTGAGTCTGAGTGATGAGGAGGGAGGAGGAGGTGAGGGTGAGTTCCTCCGGCGCGGTCCGCCAATAACAAGAACCCCATCTTAGGATATGGGGAACAATAACCCCATCTTAGGATATGGGGAAAACCGGAGGAATATAAATATAGTTTAATGGACTCCAGATCTCGCGTACGAATGCCAAATTTGACCCTGGGTGTTACCTCTAAGCGGGGGTGCACAGCACGAAGACCTCAAGACAGCAGCTCAGCGGCAAGACTCACCACACCCTGGCGCCCCCTGGGGGGTCTGGAAGTTTGGGACCGAGCCCCGACGCCCCCAAGGCTTGGAATTAGTTCATGCCGTATAAGAGTTTGGACCCAGGAGACGTTACGGGCCCAGAGGCGTCTTCACTGCGTGAGTACTTTTGTTTCCGGAGGCCGCCCTCGGTGAGAAGACCTTCCTGACCAGCGTTGGGCGGCAAGGGGTTAGAGGAGGTGGACAAAAGTGGCATTGTAGGCTTCTTTTTGCAGATGCGTAGGGCTTGGTAGTGTGCATCCGGAAACGTGTCCCCTGCCATCACGACACGGCTACGGTCTGCTAAATTGTTCGCCTCACCGTCGCACCCGAGATATACGCAGCCACATCCATAAATTCTCTTGACTACATGGCGAGTTGTCCGCCAGACGTGCTTCATGACCCAGAATGTATGCATCCTGGCAACTCGGACCTAGACGCGGCTTACAAGCTACCGACATTTGACGTTCAGGGCGTAGGTATAATTTCCGTTATCAGATTTTCAGATGTCGTAGCTTACTCGCAGTTTGCTGACACGTCTGTCAGAACAGCACTTTTGACTCTACGCTTATTGATTCATCGTGTCGCATTTCGCCTGTTCCACACTCTGACCGTATCCCGCTTGCAGATGAATGCGTGGCAAGAGTCAACCGTGTCGATTTGCCATCCGCGCCTCCCCATCAGACCGCACATTTCTTTCCGCGATCCTTTTTCCTTATACACATAAGATCGCCGTCGCACCACCAGACGTCTTGCTGGGGCTTGAAGGCGTCTTTACAAATCATGCTCCTGAATTTCCGCCGTTCCAGCAGTTTACCTGATGGACTGCGGAGTGTCTGGGCACATTCGGCTACCAAGCTGCCAGGAATTACATGGACGGGGCGGGTGTTACTTCTCATTGTGATTCTCCCTGGTGTCCTGCACCTATTCATTTTGAATCACCGCCCCCCAGATATTACATGGATTGGGTTAAGTTGTGCAAGGCTTAATCGGCATCTGCTGTTCAGTATTGCCCACTGCACGGTTAGGCACAGTTCGGATTGTCGCACGTGTGTTTGTTCTTGGTCACCCTCATTCTCCTCTCGCTCTCCTTGGCACGATATCTGTTCTCATCAGGATCCTCACAGGGGGAAGTGAGAAAGGGCGGGCGCTTTTTCAGAAGGAAAGGCCTCGGGCCCCGAAGACGCAGGACATGTTTTTCAGGCCGCCAGTGGGCTCCCGATAAGTTCCGCCGCCCTCTGAAAAGGCCACCTCCTTATCACTTCCCCCCTCGCTCGCCGCCGATGCTTGGTCCTCGCCCATACTCCACCACGCGTCATGCTATCATCATCCGCATCCTGCTGTCGCCCACGTTGGTGGCCCCACGAAGCTGCCAGCGGCCCTCCTCAGGCCTCGCGGCGAGGCGCAGAACCAGCAGCCCCCGACAGAGCAGCGGGCGACGCGCCAGAGCAGCGCAGGCGGGTGGTCATGGCTTCAAGTCACCCCCTTTCAGGGCTCAGTTCGATATTTCCGACACGATTTGATTTGATTTGGTCGATTCCGATTCCGATTCGTTTCGGTTTTGGATTCCGATTTGGATCCCAGTTTCCCAATGAGGTTTTACTAGCCTGCCGATTCCCGCCGATTCGACTCCTCCCGACTCGGCTGCCGATGCTGCCAGATCCAATGCACTTCGATCGTGGACCCGACTTATCGGTTCGACTCTGGGCTCTCCTGCCCTGGACATCGTGTCTTCGCTGTCTCCCCACCCTGCCTGCGACTGTAGATTCCCAGCCAAGGAATATGCAGTCACAGGCAGCCATTCTCAGGGACCATTCTCTCAGACTCCCTAGGAATCCTAGGGCCCTAGGAATCCTATCAGCCTAGGAATCCCAGACTCTCTTAGTCATTTCCCCAGGAATCCTAGGGACCCAGCGGCCATTCTCTCAGACTCCCCGCCCTCCTCTCGCCTCTGCGCATCCCTTCGTTTTTTTTGTTCGGTCGGGAAGCGTCGGAGGGGGTTGGCCGCTCCCCGCGGCCTCGAAGGCATCTGGACGCCCCACAAATTCCAAGGGCGTCTCAACTCCGTGATTATCGAATACCGAGGATCGACGTGGCCAACGCCCTCGCTCTTTCGCCACCCCTCCCAGGGCTGGACAAGAGCAGGACGAGGAGGAGGAGGAGAAAGAGGACAACGAGGACAACACTGCCGGCGGGGGCAGCATGCTACGTGAAGGCGGGTGGGTTTCGGCCGGCTCCTCGCTGGGTTTAGGCAGAGCGGGTTGGCCAACAATCTTCGCTCTTTCACCAGACTTTCCCAGCGCACCTCCTGAGCCCTCGAGGGATGTCATGGAGGTCCCCAGAGGTTTCTGGAGGTCCCAGGCCTTCCCCTCCCTCCTCCCCCTCCCCCTTCCCCCGATCCTCCTCCAGATAATTTCGTCCAACGTCGATGGATCGGGGAACGTGAAATCTGTGGGCCTCCACACAGAGAGGAAAGACACTCCACCATATTTCGCTGGGCGATGGACGAAGAAGAGGACGAGCAAGAGGAGGTGGAGAAGGAGGAGGAGGAGGAGAAGGAGGAGAAGGAGCTTCTCTTCGCACCTCCTCGCCCCTCCTCGTTCAGCTAGGAGGAGCGAGGATAAGTGATCGTCGCTTCTCTTCATCCTCGCTCCTCATCGCTCATTGCCGAGTCCGATCCCACCCCTCTCTTCCCTGCTCTTCCTCCTCGTACTCCTCCTGCTCCTTCTCCTCCTACTCCTCCTTCTCTTCTCCTCTTCCTTCTCCTCCTCCTCCTCCTCCTCCTCCTCTTCTCTGCCATCCCCTTCTCCGTCCCCTCCTCGTCTCGGCCGCCGCCGTCGCCATTCACTTAAGGAACGCCTGCTTGATAGCACTTGGCACTCTAGTTCGCCGCTCCGTCGTTTTCAGTGATGTGATGGCGGTCTGCTACCTTGATCCGAGTTGCAGTAGTTTCTCTTTAGCTTCGATCTGGGGCCTGGCCCAGAGAGGTCGATCAGTTTGCCGCCTCGCGCCTCTCTGCTCGCGTTCAGACGAATCGTGCAAGAAGGCAGCCGTTCCAAGGATCCGTATAGCTGAAGTCGCCATCGCCGCTTGTGGCTGATTGTTTTTGTATGACTTGACCTTATGCCCCTTCGTTGGCGCGCGCGAGACCATCCCATAATCCTAGAGTCCTAGAGCCCTCCCTCTCGCTCCCTTTGTTCCGCTCCTCTTTCACCACTTCACCACCACCACCACCACCACCACCACCACCACCACCACCACCACCACCACTCCCTCCATCGTTCTCCCCCCACCACTCCCACCGCCCTCACCACCACCACCACCACTCCCACCGCCACCACCAACAACACTCCCACCACACTTCCCACCGCTCCATGCCACTCCGCTCTGCTCCACCACCGCCCACGGTCCCGCAGGCACGCCCCCAAGCCCGGGCGGGTGCTCCTCGCTCGCGGGAGCGCCGCGGGGCCGCCGCCTGAGTGGGTCGCCCCCCGCCCTGACCAGCGGGGGGGGGGCGGGGGGGCCCTGGTCCGAGTGGCGCCCGCGGAGGCGGCGCGCACGCCGCTCGAGGAGGTGCCGAAGTCCTGCCGTCGAGCTTCTGCACTGGGGAGCGGAAGCTGCGCTGTTGGCGGGCGGGCAGGTGGTGAGGTGCAGTCCACGGCGCGGCACTGGACATGATCACGTTCGATGTAGGATGTCGGCGCATCCTCGCGCTAGACACGCCAGGCTTGAAGGGGGATTGTAGGCTGTTAAGTCTCCTCAGACTGCGTTCCACTGCAGAAGGCTCGACTTAATGTCAGGTTGGCCTCGAACGGTGGCCGATCTTTTGGCAAGCGGCACGATTCGCCAAGGGTAGCTCGAATGCGGTATGTGCTGACTGTGTGTCGGCGAGCGTGCACACCGTTCTGGGTCGTCACTGCGCCTCCTCCTTGTCGCCTGGACTGCGTACTGCTCCCGCTACGTCTCCCTCTCTCCCCGTCTTCTCGTCGCCCCTCCCCTGCTGCTCCCCTCGCGACTGCACCCTCGCGAGCGATGCGGTTGATCCCCTGTGGGCGGATCCAGTATCTCCACGCCGCGTGCTCTGGGCCGGGCGCGCGCGGCTTTCTACGCCGCGCCGCTGCGCGCGTGGCCGCGACGCCGACAAGTGTGTCGGTGAGCGTTGCCATGCTCTGAGCGCCGTCTGCTTCGCGTGACTCGCCCTGGAGCGGTCGACGCACGATGAGGTCGGAGGGTGTGGGCCATGGGCTGCCCCCGGCGGCGCCGCATCAGAGCCCGCTCTTGGCCTCCGCCCGCAGCCGTCCGGGCTCCAAGAGGCGCCGCCTCGGCGCCACAGCTGGCACCCGGCAGGCCCCGCGCGCCCCGCCGCTCGGGCCATGCCCTGCCCGCGCCGGCGGCTGCCCGCCGCCCCTGCGGCGCTCGCCATGGCGGCAGCCGCCGTGCACGCCGCGCCGCGCAGGGCCTTCGCGGCAGGCCCCGCCGCGGCCGGCGGGCGCTCACCGCGGCAGGGCGGCGCACCGCTCGGCGCACTGGGCGGCCTGGGCGGCCTGGGAGCGCTGCTGCTCGCCGCGTGCGCGGCCGGTGCGAGGCGCAGCAGGCAGAGGTCAGAGGAGGAAATGGTGTGCGGTGCCGATGCCGCTGCACACTCTGCGGCAACTGACTCATGGGGGCCTCTTGTGCCATCCTGTTGGCTCTTGCGAGCCGCCGCTCATCGACGCTACATCGATTCTGATCGACGCCAGTCGACGCCGAGTCGGCGCATATCACCGATCACCCGACGCTATTCGACGCGAGTGCAGTCTAAAGACGGAGTTGCGAGGGCATAGGAGCCGTTGATGATATGCTGCCCAATACACATCCTGGGCAGCCCTCGTCGCCACGGCCGGAGGTTCTCTTGCAAAGTCCTGGCCAGACCGCACCCCGGGAGAGGTCCTGGGAGCAGCGGTCTCGTGATCTTGTCGGCCCCAAGCAGGCACAGGGTGGCAGCAGCATGCCTGGACGGGTGGGTCGAGGAGGCCGACAGCGCGCAGCCCAGCGAGAAGACGGTGGAGACGATGCGGAAGTTTTCCAACAAGTACGCCAAGGTCACCGACACCGTCTTCTGCATGGACAAGTCGGTGTCCGCCGTGGTCATCTCTGGCCTCGCGCACCACAAGGAGACGCTGGGGGCGCCGCTCTGCCCCTGCCGCCACTACGAGGACAAGGAGGCAGAGGCGAAGGCCGGGTACTGGAACTGCCCCTGCCTTCCGATGAGGGAGCGCCACGAGTGCCATTGTATGCTCTTCCTTGAGCGGGACAACGAGTTTGCTTCGCAGGGCTGCCAGGAGTTGGAGCTCGACGAGATTCTGAAACTCGGAAGCCCATGACGCGAAGGGTCTGTTTGCACGCTCATGTCAAGGACTCGCCTCTCTTCAGCGCCCATTTGATGGCAGCTTTGGGGAGATGACATGGCCATCCCCGCTCATTGACGATGTTTGTCGAAAGTAGTGCGGAACCAATTTTCCATGAATTTCTGCAACTTGTGACAGCGAGACCCTCGCAGCAGCAAGCTTATAATAACTTTTGTTTCTCCTGCAATTGGCCCTGCGCGCCCAAGACGGAGCACATGTGCAAGACAATGTACACATTTGCCAGTAGAGCCTGAACTTGGTCACGGCTGCGCGGTCATTTAACATGTGTCCAGGCCATCAGTTTTTCAAAGCGCCCGTGCCAAGTATTTAGCCGTGTGGCTTTCCCGATTGCGTGACGGTGTCTTGCTTTGAGAAGCCAGCGCGCCGTTTAAAACATGTGGTTTGGGGCTTCCGTCCACGCTACGATTGCCAGATTCTACAAAGGCGCATCGATCGGCCATGTTTGTCCGTGCTATCCGCCATCGCACGACCAGTTTGGCATTGATTGGTAACGAGGTCCCCTCAGGTCTGGGTAATTACATGTTTCCCCATACCATGTTTACACGACGAGTTTATTATCCGGCTGCCCGCGGCAAGTCCCGCCACCGTACCGGCCCAGAATTCTGGGTGACGACTGTTCGAGTTGGCACGAGAGCATGTGCGACACCTCATGGCTCAATGCGTGTAAAAGCCGCAATGAGGATGATGTTGCTTATACGGAAGTTTTGGATGATGATATTGATGATGATGATGATGATGATGTTGATGATGATGATGTTGATGGTGATGGTGATGGTGATGGTGATGATGGTGGCGGTGCTGGTGATGGTAAAGATGATGCTGACGTTGATGCTTTTGATGATGGTGACCATGATAACGACGACGATGGTGATGCTGTTGATGATGATACTGCTGATGATTGTGCTAATGATGATGGTGATGCTGCTGCTGATGATGCTGATGTTGATGCTGATGATGATGGCGATGATGACGATGGCATTGATGGCGATGTCGTTGATGATGGCGATCAGGTTGATGGTGGTGATGATGATGCGGATGACGGTTTAAATAATGATGTTGATATTGATCTTGATTATGATGATGGTGTCGATGATGATGACAGCGACGACGACGATGATTATGATGATCATGTTGATGATGATGGTGTTGTTGATGATGATGATGATGGTGATGGTGAGGTTGATGATGTTGATGATGTTGATGGTGATGCTGATTACGACGATGACGTCGACGTCGACGATGAGTCCGATGATGGTGGTGGTGGTGCTGCTGGTGCTGGTGCTGATGGGTGACGGGGATGAGAATTAGGGTGAGGATGAAAATGATGAGTACGATGAGGGTTACGAGGATGATGATGAGGATGAGGACGAGGACGAGCATGGGGAGGAGCAAGATGAGGACATAGAGGCAGGCCGTCGCATGTGACACCTTCGTCTTCACTATCTGAAGTGCTCTTACTGGCCTGTCTTGGCCTACCTTGGCCTCCTATGAGGCAGTCTTGATTGTCCCGTGTGCGCCCTCTTGGGCCGTCTTGGGGCTCTCTCGGGTCGTCTTGGGACTTCCTTGGGCCGTCTTGGGGCCCTCGTGGCCGTATGGCAGGTGCCTGGGGGCAGTCGCGGGGCGCTCTTGACGCCGTCTTGGGCTGTCGAAGGGCCTTCGAAGGACGTCTTGGGTCCCACGGGATGCCCTCTTCGGCCAGCTCGGGGCCGTCTTGGATACCTCTTGTGTCCTCGTTTGGGTGATCTTTGGACCCTCGTGGGGGCCTCTTGGGCCGTCTTGGGGCCATCTTGGAGGCTTCTTGGGTCGTCTTGAACTGACGGAAGCCCGAAAGGGTGAGACTGCGAAAATCCGTCAAAACCCATGGGGACATCACTACGTTTGGCTTCTTCGCTCCCTGGTGAGGGTCCCGTTTTGGCCCTTTTGGGTCCTCGTGGAATCATCTTCGGCCGTCTTGAGGCCATACTAGGCCGCCTTAGGGGACATTGGCCTGTCTTCAGGGCATCTTGAGACGTCTCGGTTGCCTTGCTTGCCTGGGCCGCCTCGGAAGGCCAGGACGCGGACACGGTGCGTTTGTATGACGGATCCTGGCCTCGGGAGCGCGGACCCACTGTTTTTGTTTGCCAGGGAGCGTGGCCTCGGGGAAGTGGGGGGGATGCATGTACCAGTCTGTTACTAGAGGGGGGGTGGTACTCTTGCGCTTGTCAGAGTACAGAAACTCTACAGAGCAGCGCCTGGCATTCTAACACGCTCACATCGTACACGCACGGTGGCGGATTTGAATGCAAATGGTTGGGGCACCTCATCATGTTCCACTTCCGTTTACGCCACATGAGTTCAATCCAATTCCTCCCTCGGGAGGGGCGCCTCGTGGGCGCCCCTGCGCTGGTTGGGATCTCCAGGCCTTACCTCGTAGGAGACGTCGCGCGCCTCGTGGTTGCCCCGAGCGCCAGCTGGGTTCTCCGGGTTTTCGCCCGTTTGGTGTTGGGCGCCTCGTGAGCGCCCGTTGCGTTGGGTGGCGTTTCCCGGCTTCCGCCCAGTGTCCTCCCTGTGGCCGCCCCCGCGCGCTGGCCTGCAAAATATGGTTTCCCACCAAATAGATTGCCCGTCTCACTTGCAACACATAACTTGCACCACACATATATCGCACCATTCGCGGAGTGGCGCGCCGATACTCCGACGCGGAGCACCCCGCGGATCGCATTAGTTGGATTAGCGGAGCGGCGCTCCTTTAATCCGATTCGGAGGACGCCGGGAATCGCCACGCCTGCCCTGATCGGAGCTCAAGAGACGGGGGTCACTGCAAACGGGGATCAGCCAGGGCACAGGATCCTGCAGGATGCTGCGAAGACCCCCTCTGGCAAACCTGGATTGGCGAGCCGTTCGTGGCCGCGAGGCGGCCGCGCATCTTGGCTGACCCGGATTTGCGAAGACCTGCGTTGCAGTTTTTCTTTCCTGCATTGCAGTTTTTGGTTTCCTGCTGACCCTGGTCTGGATTGACCCGGGTCATAAGATCGCCGATCTGAGGCCACTGCGCGGAGCGGTGCTCCGCTCATTCCGCTAATCCGACGCGATGCGCTCCGGGAATCGGCGCGCATGCTTTGAAGCCAATTCTCGGAGCAGCGCTCCATTAATCCGACCCAGAGTATTATTGGAGTCGGCGCGCACGCTTGGAGGCCAATTCGCGGGGCGGCGCTGCAGTAATCCGACGCGGCGCACTCCTGCAATTGGGGTCCGGGCCCATCGGAGATTCTTCAGGAGTGGAGACTAAGGCTCAGGGGATTGGGCACAGGACCTGGGGGCACGCCTGTGGGTAATATACAGCTAAGTACATATACGTGCTGATATGTGTTAATACATGTAGATACATGATGGTAATATATGTTTTGTGTATGTATACACCTCGATATATTCATGTGCATATACTCGTACGTGTGCAATCATTATTGTTACCATAGTTCGCATGAACTTTCATGTGCTTTCTCTCGGTATCACCCTTCCCTGCGAACCGTTTCCCGTATTCCGTCCCAGCTCACGTTGAACAAAAACATTGTCAAGCCGAAAGTCGCGTGGTATGGATGCGGCCTCTGTCCACCGTGTGTCGAGGTAGCTGTGGCATTGCTGCCTACCTGCGCCCTTTTCGTGCATGACGCCGTGGGTAGTGATCATTCGTTGGAGGAAGTGAAGTGTGAGGAGAAACGATCGGATGAAGGGAGGGGCTGGCGGGGGAAAGGGGAGGTTTCGCATCCCACTCCTTCTCCTCGTCCCTCCTCATGAACCTCCCTCTTGGCTCCTCCTCCTCCTCCCCGTCGCGTCGACGAAAGAGGAGGAGATGTGGACGAGGAAGAAGAAGAGAACGAGGAGGGAGAAGAGCAGAGGGAGGAAACGGAGGAGGTGGGACGGGTCGGCGGGATTCAGCGTCAAGGTTTGCCTCATGCTTTGGAGGGTGAAAGAGGGGGTCTGCAACAGGGGGTCTTCAATGGGAGCTGAATGGCCCATGTATGCTCAATGTATCGTTCATGTGTGTGATCGGGTACGATTGGCACCCAATGTTGGCGGTCATTGAGGGCCAGTCGTTCGTGCCCGCGCGATGCCCGCACGGGCACACGCGCCGTCCATGCATTATCGTTCATGCGTGCGGGCGTTCTTGCTTATTGCGCGTGTGGCGGCGAAGTGGAGTGCAAGTGTGTCTTGATTGTGCGATTGATGATCGCGTATGTTCCCAAACGATGACTTCTCGACCCCCAAGACAGATTTGGAATGAGTACCGCGTTTCTCCCAAAATGTGACTTCACATTTTCCTTTCCAAAAATTTGAATTCACATTTTCCTTTTTCCCAGCATGTGAATTCACATTCTGGCCCCTTCACAAAGAATCCTACACAAAATCCGACATGTGAATTCACATTTCCCTTTTTTCCAAAATGTGAATTCACATTTTCCTTTATCCTTTCTCCCAGAATGTAAATTCACATTTTGCTTTTCCTCACAATGTGAATTCACATTTGGCCCTGGCCTTCAAGATCCCCCAAACTGAGGCGCAGTGTTCCGCATGTCAGATTGGCTAAGCAGATTTCGACACTCACCTGACCGCTTTCGTTTGTTCCAGCCTTTTTTCTTTTTGCGCCCTCAGCGCATGTTGCCTTCGTCGCCTTTCCCGAGCCCCCCGCCCCCTTGCTTCCTTTCCCCTCAAGTCTCGCGCGTGGGTGCAGGCGGGGGGCTTCAATTGGTTCCCCCCGCCGAACACAGCAATCGAGGATGTATCGCCCATTCATGGCCCATAAAGACATCATTGCCGAATGGGGGAAGAAGCGGAGGAGGAAGGGACGGGGGAGACGGAGGAGGAACGGCAGGGGGAGGGCGGGCGGCGAGGGCACCGGCGACGGCAAGGTCTGGGACCCCTCCGGCTACTTATTGCCCTCCGCCGGCGACGAGGTCGAGGTGCTCGTGGTGGAGGACCCCGGCGGCGCCCGGCCCCCTGGCCGGGGGAGTGCCTCGGCGGCCCCTCTCAGCCAGCACGCTGCTGACCAGGAGTCTGAGCATCCCTCCCAGAGAGAACGGGGAACTCAGGCCCCCTCGAGTCATGAGCAAGAGCACGACGGGAGGTTGAGCTATGTTTTCGGTCCCTGGGGGCTCTTGCCGGCCCTCGGACGCGTCAGACATGATGCCGGAATAGGAATTGGTCCCGGGGAATGGGTCGAAGCCTCCAAGGGTCGACGTCATGAACAAGTCTTAACGTCGGGGGTCTTGGGAGAACCAGAAGTGGACAGCGTTTCGGCCAACGGCTGTCTTTGTCTCGGGCGCGCCAAGGTCTTGCTGCCATGGGGTGCGACATAGATTCTGTAATGGATTACGGCCTCGACCGCCGGCTTGTAAACGAACCGCTGCTGGTGGCGCCATAGGCTACATTGCCTGCCGACAGCATCTCAAGCGGCCTACTCGACATAGGTTGCGAACCTGCTGGCCGAAACTGAAAAAAGTCACTGTCATTGCTGGAGCCATAAGTCGCGCACTCAGCGGCCAGAGGTTAAACACTCGACGGCTAAGAATACACAGGCCTGTTGCTTGTTGCGCCATAGGTTGCGCCCTTTGCGGCCCAACACAGAACGGCGTTGTGGTGCAAGCTAGGTGGTGTAAGATATGTGGTGTAAGCTATGTGTTCCAATATTCGGGGTGCATGATATGTGGTGTAAGCCGAGTGGTGTAAGGTATTTTGTGGAATCTACACGTATTTGCGCTCGTTTGCCAGAGTGGGCCCCGAACAGTATAGTGGTGCATTATGTATGTGTATGTCAGGTGGTGCAGAATCTGTGGTGTGAGGTATGTGGTGCGATAGGTCTGGTGCCTGCTATGCGACGCATGCGATGTTGTGCAGACTACGCGGTGCAAGCTATGAGGCGCATAGTTTTGTGGTGCAATTTGTGTGGCACACGCTATGCGGTGCAAGCTTTTTGATGCAAACTAGGTTGTGCATGCTGTGGGGTGTAAGCTACGTGTCGCCACCAGCTATGTGGTGCAACCCATGCTGGGTACCGCCAGGCGAAACCCCGGCGGTGCAACCAGCGCACGGGGCGCCACGAGGCGCCTGCCCGCGCCCACCAGGCGAAACCCGGCAGGCCCAGCCAGCACACGGGGCGCCTTTGAAGCGCTCCTCGGCGCCCACCAAGTGAAACCTTGACGGACCAAGCCAGCGCGTGGGGCGCCCACGAGGCAGAACTCCGGCGGACCCAACAATTTGCTAAGGACGGACTCTTTGGTGTAAGCACGGATTGGGGAAACATGGGATGATAACGGGCACAGGCAGTCAGACAGTCAGTCAGCCAATGGGTCAGCGAGGCAGTCATATGGTTAGGCAGCTTACTTCGCGAAAGATCAACCCGGACCACGCCCAAACAGAAGGGCACAGCTACACCGCTATGGGCTCTATCCCACCGTCGTCTGTGAGAAGCTCATGCATGGCGCTCTCCCCCCATCCGGAGGATGGCTGGGCGTACTGCCACAGCCACGGTCAACACGGTTGGCTCCACCCCGACGACTTGTGCGGCGGCGAGGATTGCCGCTGCAATTCTCAGATGTTTCTGTTTGCGTTTACCCCTTGCCCATCTTAACACGGACCTCTGTCCGCTGCGGTTTTCGTTGACTGACTTCCTCCCTGGAGAACACCTTCCCTAATGTAGTATTTCCCTCAGCATCTTGTCTGGGTCTTATATAATGTGTCTTCGGCCAGGTGTGATATCTTGCGGACGCGGAACAGGTGGTTCACCGTCGTTCCCCGTATGGTCCCCAGTCTTGGTCCCCGATACGGTTGGGTTCCCCCGTATGGTTCTCCAGATGGCATTTGTCCCCCGTGTGATCCCCCAGGTTGGTCTCCGCCCGCGTATGGGTCCCCGTATGGTATTTGTCCCCTGTATGGTGGCCCATATGGTTGTGGCCCCCCGTTTTGGTCCGCCATGTTGTCCCGCATATGTTCGTGATCCCCCGTATGGTCCCCCATCTTGGTTCCCTGTATGGCTTGTCGATTAGCATTGTGGCACAGTGGTAGTATCACTCCAGTCGCAGCATAGTAGCAGCAGTGTGCTTGCATTCCAGCAGTAAAGTAAGAGTGAAGTAGTACCTTCGTGGTAGTAGTACGGCAGTCGCACACTAGATCTCGGTCAGATGGTATCGTCGTTATGGTCTCGTTGCACTAGGCTGCGGCATCAGTGAAGTAGCAGAGCAGTAGTATCGTGGTAGTAGACAAGTTGTGGGAGCTGCAGCGTGCGGGGCTACGAGGAGTACCGCCAGCAGCAGGTGGGGGCGCACTCAGGAGTGTTGCGTGAAGAAACTGACGACGTCGAAGTGGTCATGAGTTTACAAGCTTCACGTTGAACATTATGAGCATCCAGTCTTACATTGGGGTAAGTGTCGCGTTGAGATGGCACCAGGGTCCGATATTCCACCAGAGGTTGCCAACATATAAAAGGTATTGGCCTGAACCTTTGCCAACCTATGCAACGATCAGGCGGCAAGGACTTGTAAAAAACTTGTTTGTGATTCCCAGCGCAGGATCAGCAGCAACTGCAACGGGGTGTTGGTAGTAGTATCGTGAGCAATCTCAGTCGTAATAACATCTGCCGTCCTGTTGTGGTCCCCGGTCTTGGCCATATGGTAGTATTAGGCTCGGGGTGGTCCCCACTTGAGGCGGTGGAGGAGAAGATGTCGGATGATGATGATGATGAGGAGGAGGAGGAGGAAAGCAGGAAAGGCAGGGGGAATCAAATATCTTAACCCGCCACACATCCTACATCGGATTCTTTTTTTCTGGACACCCCGCACAGTCCTCACCCACCGCCCACGCAAAGTCACGCATTCACGCTCTCGCACAATTGCAGTCATGCACGTGTGTCGGAAGTCTCGAGCGGAGGCCTCGTCTGTGATTGAGTTGCGAGTAAGCTTCAAGTTGGAGCCCATTCCTATTGGGCCCGCGCATCATGTTATTTGAATGAGGGATCATCCGGGTCTGGTGAAAACGCAAGGTTTTGTGACTACCGAGCCGCCAGGGTTCCATTACCAGTCCTGATTTCGAGTGTCTGGAGCCAATTGTAGGCCATTTCGTGCTCTTCGAGTGCCCAGAACTCGACTCCCAGGCTTGTTTTTACGTCTAGAGCCACTCTGGGGCACCTTTGTGAACCCAGACCAATTCCTGGGACTGATTTGGCGCTGGCATCGTGGCATCCTGGCAACTTGGCGTCCTGGCATCACTGGCATCTGGGGTATCCTTGGAACCCAGGCACCCCTGGCATTCTGGCATCCAGGCGAAGACCCCGCAGAGGCGGGCAGAACATCACAGGCCCCACAGGCCCCATAAGTCGCACATACCCACAGGTTGCACAGGTCCCATCGGCCTAAGAGGTGTCAAAGGTCCTACAGGTCGCACAGGTCGAACAGGTCCCACAGGACTCACAAGTCCCATACGCCCCACAGGCCCCACAGCTGGTACTTGTCCCACAGCTCCCACAGGTCGCACAAGTCCTGCACGTTTCTCGGGCCCCGGAGTTTCCACGGGTCCTACGAACCCCAGATGTCCCGCAGGTCCCACATAGTCCCGCAGATCCCACATAGTCCCGCAGGCTGCACGGGTTGCTCATGCATCCTGGCATCTTGGGAAACAGCATTCAAGCTGCCTGGCGTCCTGGCACGCTGGCATCCTGGCATCCCTGGCGTCCTGGTGTCCAGGCTTCCTGGCATCCTGGCGTCCTAGCATTCTGGCACCCCGGCACCCTAGCATCATCGCCATCGCCAGTCGTCGATGGTCATGTGTACAGACACACCGAGGAGATTATCATGTGTGGCCCCAGCGTCGGAGCAGTTGTTTGTTCCTTTGGTGCCTGGAGCCGCTGTTGGAATTTCGAGGATGGAAGATTCCAGGGCACTCTTTCGATCGGATCCTAACGCACGCCCGAGGGAGAGCAGGGCTGGCAAGGGCCCTCGAGGGCCCTCGACCCCCGGGGGCCCCCGAGGGGGGCCCAGGAAGCCCCGAGGGCCCTCGAGAAGGCCCTCGAGCAGCCTCGCGGGGGCCCAGGCAGCCCTCGGCGGGCGCCTGCCCCAGTGGCTGGGAGAGGCCCCCGGGCATCCGCTGCTTTGATTCCTTCACACGGGCCGGAAACTGGAACGTACGCAGTGTCAGTGGCGGGCTGTTGTTCAGTCCCAGGGTCTTTCTGAGGATCGGTGACGTATGCTTGTTTTTTATCCGTGCCCAGAGAAGCAACAAAAAGTGTAGGGTCCCGTACACACCAGGATCCGCTTTCCTGTGCAGGTGTCAGTGCAGTGCCAGAAAAAGCGTCGGTGTATAGAGTTTGTTTCCCTAACGGGGTCCCCAGAAGCACCCGCGGCCGGCTTTTCCTCCTGAGCCGTCTTCGGATTGTCCGGTCGGAAGGACCGGTCTCGGTTCGGAAATATCGGGCACAAAGGCCGACAGCATGTCTTGTTCATGCTGAACAGGACTCGCTGCCGATGTCGCTGCGGACGTTGTGCACGCGAGACAGAAGGCTACATGCCCATCAGCGGCCGTTGTCGGTTTTGGACAACATTTGTTTTCGGGCATCGTACCCTTTCTTTCCGTACCCATTTCTGCCGTCCAGATCTTGGGGTCCGGCGAGGGTCTTCGGAGACCGAAAGCAGCCAAAACAGTCCCGTTGCTTTTTTTCCGCGACGAGATCTGAGCTTCTATCATGGGCAGCGATAGGGATGGACAGGCTCAGGTAGGGAACGCTTCGACCCCCAATCGCCGATTGATCGCCGACGGGGTCTGCTAGCCCCACCCGCCCAGGAACGCGCGGATCCACCATCGGGGGCATATCGCCGATCTACCAGTGATGTATCGCCGATTCCAGGTTGACGTTCCCACTCCTCAGCCAGTCCCCCCTCATCCAGACACCCGACGTCATGAGTCCTCATAACGTCGAACCCCAGAGGTCTCGACCCATTCCCTGGGACCCGCTTCTCGTCCTGAGTCTTTTTTTTGATGGCCCCGAGGCCTGGCAAGCCCCCCCCAGAGAGGACGAAAAGAGTGAAAAAACCTCCCGCCGTGCACTTTTCACGCCCCGAGGGGGTGCCGCCCCTCATCGCACGACCCGTCCCTGCCCCTCCTCGCAGCTGCTCGGCGGGCGCCGAGAGCCCTCCCGCTCGCCCCCCAGGACGGGCCCGCGGCGGAGCCCGGTGCGGCCGACGCTCCGAGGCGGGATGGCGTCTCGGCGCGGCCGGCAGCGCGGCCGACAGCGTTCGTGGCCGGGTCGCTGTGGAGCAAGCCCAGCTCTTGGACGAGTCGTGGAAAAATCACGACGACGGTGTTTGCTTGTTTTCGGCCTCTGGGGGCCCTTGCTGGGCCTCGGGGCCCTCAAACAACGACCGAGGATGAGAAACTGGTCCCTGGGAATGGGTAGAGACCTCTGGGGGTCGACGCTATGAAAAAATATGACGCCGTGGGTATGAAAACCCAGATCTCCGACGATGCCACGGTGAGGAACTTTGGCTCAGAGTGTGACGCCGCCAGTTCTGGCCCACCACGCTGCGGCGCGACAGGCTATCCACGTCCCCATTTCCAAGCGCGAGCCTTGCCGAGCCTCCCCTCCAGCGGAGCGCAGCGACACGCTATCCTCTCGCACAACATAGCGAGTCGCCGGGCCCGTCGCCGCAACACGCCATGTCAAGTGCCTGTCCGTATCAGAATCAGGGGGCCGAACGGCTTTGCACTGTCCCTGGGTGCGAGGGTGAAGTTGAATGCCGTGGCCCAGGTTATGTTTGTTCGTTGTTTGTGGAGTCGTTGTCATCGTCCTCCCCGCCCCCTCACTTTTGTCCGCGACAGCGGAGTGCAACGCATTTTCAACCGGCGTGTCCTCTTAGATTTCGGCTCTCGGGGGCTGTTTTCGCGCCCTGGGGCAGTTAGAAGCGGACCTGGGGTGCAACGGTGCCCTTTGAGAAGAGGTCATGGGGCCGCGCATTGAGAAATCACGTCGTCGGACGTTATGGAGCGGGCTCCGAGACAAGCGGGCCCCGAGGCTCTTCTTCGTTCTTGGCCTCCCTGGGCCCTCCACGGGCCCCGGGAGGGCCTGAAAACAGCTCGGGGGTGCCCCCGGGCCCGCCTGTTGCATGCCAAAAGAGAGAGGGGCGGCACGGTCGAGATCTTGGCGCCGCTCGGACGTGTGCATTTCCTGCCGGCGAGAACCATCGAGGACCATTGTGGACCACGTCGAGCAACAAAAAACACGCACGGAACTGAAAAACGCACGTGGATGGACGTCCGAGCGACGCCAAGAGATGGAGGCGAGGAGAGCGGGACGGAGGCCAGCAGCGGTCCCTGCCCACCTTGAGCAGCCTTCGGTGTCGGTGCTGCCGCGGACGCCGCCTGCTCGGCAGCGGCCGCTGTGGGCTCTGGACAGAGCATGCGCTTGTGTCTGTAAGTACGCACCTCGGGCGAGCAAGGGGAGCTCTGAGGGGAAGGGGCCCCCAGCTGTTGCTCCACGAAGCGTGTGAGGGGAAGGGGCCCCCCGACTCGCTTAAGTCATCCTCACATTTCTTAATAGAATTGGCCAAATCGCCCGAGACATCTTCGCATTTCTTAATAGACTTGGCCAAATCGCTTCAGACATCCTAGCTTTTCCTTCGCTTTTCTCTGCTTTTCCTTGAGCTTCTCAGCTTTTCCTTAGCTTTTCAGCAGTTGTCATAGCTTTTCTTTAGTTGTCTTAACTTTTCGTAGCTTTCCTTAGCTTTTCTCAGCTTTTCCTTAGCTTTTCTTTGCTGTTCCTTAGCTGTTCTCAGTTTGTCTTTAGTTTTTCCTTCGCTTTTCCAGCTGTTCCTTAGCTTTTCTAACCTTTTCCTTAGCTTTTCTCAGCTGTCCCCTAGCTGTTCTAAGTTTTTCTTTCGCTTTTCCATAGCTTGTCTCAGTTTTTCTCAGCTGTTCCTTAGCTTTTCTTTTGTTTTTCCCAACCATCCTGTGGTGTTGGGTCCTCGTTTTGAAGAGACGGTGCCCCGCGTTCCTCCTCCTTCCTCCCGCTGACCCCTCCCTCCCCCTTGCCTCTGCCCTCCGCATGTCTCTGTTTCGGCACATCCCTCACGCGTTCCGTGGCCCCATAGGGAGCTCCACCGAAGGCCCCAGTGGCAGGGTCCGCATGGCGGCCCCGCATTTTGGCGCACCCCTCACACGGTTCGTGGCCCCATAGGGAGCTCCACCGAAGGCCCCAGTGGCAGGGTCCGCATGGCGGCCCCGCATTTTGGCGCACCCCTCACACGGTTCGTGGCCCCATAGGGAGCTCCACCGAAGGCCCCAGTGGCAGGGTCCGCATGGCGGCCCCGCATTTTGGCGCACCCCTCACACGGTTCGTGGCCCCATAGGGAGCTCCACCGAAGGCCCCAGTGGCAGGGTCCGCATGGCGGCCCCGCATTTTGGCGCACCCTTCACACGGCTTGTGGCCCCATAGGGAGCTCCACCGAAGGCCCCAGTGGCAGGGTCCGCATTGCGGCCCCGCATTTTGGCCCGCCCCTCACACGGTTCGTGGCCCCATAGGGAGCTCCACCGAAGGCCCCAGTGGCAGGGTCCGCATGGCGGCCCCGCATTGGGGCGCACCCCTCACACGGTTCGTGGCCCCATAGGGAGCTCCACCGAAGGCCCCAGTGGCAGGGTCCGCATGGCGGCCCCGCATTTTGGCGCACCCCTCACACGGTTCGTGGCCCCATAGGGAGCTCCACCGAAGGCCCCAGTGGCAGGGTCCGCATGGCGGCCCCGCATTTTGGCGCACCCCTCACACGGTTCGTGGCCCCATAGGGAGCTCCACCGAAGGCCCCAGTGGCAGGGTCCGCATGGCGGCCCCGCCCCATTTGGCGCACCCCTCACACGGTTCGTGGCCCCATAGGGAGCTCCACCGAAGGCCCCAGTGGCAGGGTCCGCATGGCGGCCCCGCCCCATTTTGGCGCACCCCTCACACGGCTCGTGGCCCCATAGGGAGCTCCACCGAAGGCCCCAGTGGCAGGGTCCGCATGGCGGCCCCGCCCCATTTTGGCGCACCCCTCACACGGTTCGTGGCCCCATAGGGAGCTCCACCGAAGATGATGCCCACATTTGCGGTATTAACAATTGCTTATGGTTGGGTCTTTCGCCAGGCTAATTTTCTGCGCTCTTCCTTCGCTTTTCTCAGCTTTTTCATTGCCTTTCTCAGGTTTGCCTTAGCTCGTCACAGCTTGTCCTAAGCTTTTCTCAGATGTTCCATACCTTTTCCCAGCTTCTCCTTCGCTGTTCTAAGTTTTCCCTTGGTTTTTCTCAGCTTTTACCTAGCTGTTCTGTCGCTTTTCCTAGCTTTTCCTTAGCTTGTCCCAGCTTGTCCTTAGCTTTTCATAAGTTGTCTTAGCTTCTCTTTAGTTTTCTTAGCTTTTTCGTAGCTTCTCCTTAGCTTTGCTCAGCTTTTCCTTAGCTTGTCTTAGCTTTTCCTGAGTTTGTGTTTTAAGATGTTCCATAACTTTTCCCACCTTGCCCTTAGTTGTCTTAGCTTTTCCTTAGCTTGTCTAAGCTTTTCCTTAGCTTGTCTTCACTTTTCCTTAGCTGTTTTCAGTTGTTCCTTAGTTTGTCCTTCGCTTTTCCCAGCTGTTCCTTAGCTTGTTTCCCCAACCATCCTGTGGTGTCGGGTCCTCGTTTTGAAGAGACGTCGCCCCGCGTTCTTCCTCCTCCTCCTCCTTCCTCCTCCTCCCCTTCCTCCCCCCTCCTCCCCCTCCCACACCCATTCTGGCACACCCCTCACACGTTTCGTGGCCCCATAGGGAGCTCCACCGAAGGCCCCAGTGGCTGCGCCCGCATGCGGTTCCACCCCCCATTCTGGCACACCCCTCACACGCTTCGTGGCCCCATAGGGAGCTCCACCGAAGGCCCCAGTGGCTGCGCCCGCATGCGGTTCCACCCCTCATTCTGGCACACCCCTCACACGCTTCGTGGCCCCATAGGGAGCTCCACCGAAGGCTCCAGTGGCTGCACCCGCATGCGGTTCCACCACCCATTCTGGCACACCCCCTCACACGCTTCGTGGCCCCATAGGGAGCTCCACCGAAGGCCCCAGTGGCTGCGCCCGCATGCGGTTCCACCCTCCAGTCTGGCACGCCCCTCACACGTTTCGTGGCCCCATGGGGTGCTCCACCGAAGGCCCCAGTGGCTGCGCCCGCATGCGGTTCCACCCTCCAGCCTGGCACACCCCTCACACGCTTCGTGGCCCCATAGGGAGCTCCACCGAAGGCCCCAGTGGCTGCGCCCGCATGCGGTTCCATCCCCCATTCTGGCACACCCCTCACACGTTTCGTGGCCCCATAGGGAGCTCCACCGAAGGCCCCAGTGGCTGCGCCCGCATGCGGTTCCACCTCCCATTCTGGCACACCCCTCACACGTTTCGTGGCCCCATAGGGAGCTCCACCGAAGGCCCCAGTGGCTGCGCCCGCATGCGGTTCCACCCCCCATTCTGGCACACCCCTCACACGTTTCGTGGCCCCATAGGGAGCTCCACCGAAGGCCCCAGTGGCTGCGCCCGCATGCGGTTCCACCCCCCATTCTGGCACACCCCTCACACGTTTCGTGGCCCCATAGGGAGCTCCACCGAAGGCCCCAGTGGCTGCGCCCGCATGCGGTTCCACCCCCCATTCTGGCACACCCTTCACACGTTTCGTGGCCCCATAGGGAGCTCCACCGAAGGCCCCAGTGGCTGCGCCCGCATGCGGTTCCACCCCTCATTCTGGCACACCCCTCACACGTCGTGGCCCCATAGGGAGCTCCACCGAAGGCCCCAGTGGCTGCGCTCGCATGCGGTTCCACCCACAATTTCGGCACACCCCTCACACGCTTCGTGGCTCCATGGGGAGCTCCACCGAACGCCCCAGTGGCTGCGCTCGCATGTGGCTCCCCCCCTCCATTTCGGCACACCCCTCACACGGTTCGTGGCCCCATAGAGAGCTCCACCGAAGGCCCCAGTGGCTGCGCTCGCATGCGGTTCCACTTCTTTTTTCGGCACGCCCTTCACACGTCCCGTGGCCCCATAGGGAGCTCCACCGAACGCCGCAGTGGCTGCGCTCGCATGCGGTTCCACCCCCCATTTCGGCACACCCCTCACACGCTTCGTGGCTCCATAGGGAGCTCCACCGAAGGCCCCAGTGGCTGCGCCCGCATGCGGTTCCACACCCCATTCTGGCACACCCCTCGCACGTTTAGTG